GAGACACCTGGCTAGGCCCTGTACCTTCTACGTGCCTCGCCTTTCTGCAGGAACACCCTGGGCCTTTGCTGATCTCCCTGCTTCTCTCCCTCTTGGACTTGTGCTCCCAGAGGGCAGGGGATGGAGCCTCCACTGGGTTACTTTTCACCTTAGGGTGGGACACTCACCCTCCCGATGCTACTCAAATGTCTTAGCCCAGCCTCCAAGGTCTTGATTCAACATTTGAGAACACCTGTTTACAGCTTCCTTCTTACCTGTGAACTGCTTAGTCATGCTCTGTTGTGGAATCTCTCATTCATTCATTCATTCATTCATTCATTCATTCATTCATTCAATTTCTTCCATGCTGGCTGCTCTGAGGCCCTGGAAGTATATGCAGATGTGGCCCTTCCTCTGCAGTATTTCTATTTTTATTTATTTTTATTTTTGAGAGATGGTCTCATTTCTGCAGCCAAGACTGACCTGAGAGTCACAGCAATCCTCCTGCCTCCTCCTCCTCCCAAGTGCTAGGATTACAGGAATGAGCAGCACAAATTTGTGTACTGTTGGAGAGAGGCAGACTAGAAGCAAGTAAACTAACAGATAGGAGAATACAGAGAAGTGCTAACAGGGCAGAGACAGGACCTCAGCCCCCTAGTGAGGGTGTGAGAGGCCAAGGGGCAGAAAGGCCAAGGGGCAGAAAGGCCTGTGGGACGGGTGACTGCCCTGCAGCATTGGCCAAGCATCATTTTCTTGTTGTTTTCTGAACATGTCCTTAAATGGTCTGACTGGGAAAACTCTAAGGATGCAGTTTTCCCCTGTTGATGTGGACGTGAAGGGGGAGGCAGGGCATGCTCCTGGCAGGGGCAGGGGCCCAGGCCCAGGAGGCCCGCAGAGGTCTCAGCAACAGTACCATGGGGCAGCAGTGGACAGTGTCAGGGAGCTCACTTGGCCATGAGCAGCTGAGCCCAGCTGCCCCCTGGTTGAGTGGACGTCAGGCCTGGCCATCCTCCTGCCTGTGTGCTTCAGTGCGGCCCTGAAGTCCGGTGGAGTACCTGAGAAACACAGGCACCTGCTGCTGCACTCATGCAGTGAGGCCCCGAGGCCAGCACATGGAGAAACTGCCCACCCGGAGCTGGGCATCGCCCAGGCAGGGGTGTGGCCCAGCCCTCCTCTCCCCAGTCTCAACTCTGCCTCCTTTGTCCTGACAGATGCAGACATGCGCTTTTGGTGTCCCTCACTGCAAGAGGTCAAGGAGGTGTTCCACAGCCTGGGAGCCTACAACCCTGCGCTCTACCCGCACGGGCCCTTCCAGCACAGCACAAGGTGTGTGGCTGCCCATCCGCGTTACTGCCTTCTCCCTAGTTCTCCAGTGACACTAGCCTACAGGGTAGGACTGCTGCACAGGCACCCATACCTACTGTGAGAACAAGTGTCGCTCCACAGTGTGGCCTTCTGGACCGAGAGCTCAGGGGTGCCTAGACAGCCGGGGTGGAAGCATTCTGTCACTTACTCAGACCCTGCCCCCTCCCACAGCTGGATCCCAGACTTCTCCGTCCAGTTAGTACCTCCCCCAGGCAGACTCCAGTCTTGCTTCAAATCTGTTCACCTAGTGCTTACAGCGGCTCCTGGCCAGCCAAGCCCAGTTTTCTGTCATTGTTGGCCTGGGAGAGAGAGGATGTGGGTTGGTTTGGGTGTTTTGAGATCGGGTCTCGTACCTTTCAGGCAGGCCTCAAACTCTCTGTTTAGTGCCGGAGAGTAAACCCAGGGCTTCCTGCGTGCTAGCCAAGAACTGTACCAACAGAGCTACACCCCAGACCACTGTTTTTAAAGACAGAGTCTTGCTATATAGCCCTAGCTGGCCTAGAATTTTCTGTGTATACAAGGCTGGCCTTAAACTCAAGGCTACTCTTCTGCCTCTGCCTCCTAGAGTGCTAAGATTACAGGTCCACACCAGTGTGTCTAGCTTAAAATGGAAAACCCTTGACTATCCTTTAGTCCCAGGAGGCAGAGGCAGGCAGATCTCTGTGAGTTCAAGTCCAGCCTGATCTAAACAAGGAGTCCAGACCAGACAGAGCTACACAGTAAGACTGTCTCAAAAATACCATTTGTATTTATAATAAATTTTGTTTTAAAAAAAAAAAAGAAGAAAAGAAAAAAAAAACCAGCCTCCTTTCCCGGAGGGCCTCATGCCAGCCAGACGAACTGCCAGCTGAGCTATGCCCCAGCATCAGCACTGTTTTGCATACAGTTTCCACTAGGTTCCTGTTTGTATGAGTTCATTTTGTGCCTGTACTGGGCTTGGTGGACAGTGATGCTAATTGTGTGGGCACATCCCTGCCCTTGAGGGACAGAACCACACAAATCATGAATGGCTGTTGTCGGGTGGGTGATGACCAGACAGAGGCTATAAAAGTGTGTGCGCTAGATTGTTCTCCAAATCACAGCACATCCCAACTTCCTTGAAAACTCTCTGAGATGTCCCCCACCCTGCATCCGGCAGCAGCCCCTCCAGCCAGGCAGGGCTGGGACCCTTTCTTTGGCTGCCGGATGTTTCTCTGCAGGGAAAGCGGGAGCTTTCTTAAGAACCTGTTCCACGGCTGTGTTTAGTAAGTGTCTGCCAAAGCCAGCCACACTTGGCTCTGCTATAAATACCCCACGCATGTGCCAGCCTGCCACGCTCCTGCCCCTTCCCTTCTGGAGTGCAGCGCTCCATACTGGGTGTAATAAGCCTCTCGCTGCTCTCACACACCCTGCTGTGTCTCGGATGAGTGGGGGAAATTTGAATTACACTCAGAAAAAGCAAAGCATGCCGGAGGAAGAGCCTGCTGGTGGAGGGCTCAATAAGCCACTTGTGACACTCAGGCTTCGGTGAGGTCCCAGAGCCCACCTGGGAGGTTGGGACTACACTGGAGACTTCCCAGTTTCTATGCAGCTCTGCTCTTCCCACAGGCCTGCAGTCTGTGGCCTTTAAACACGTCTCCAGTTTTCCATGCACAGACATTAGTACACAGACCTCAGCTTGACCAGGTACAGTGAAGCCCCAAATTGGAAGAGAGGAGTTGATGTGCCACGGGGTCTCACTCCTAGGCATTCCCTGTGACCCCCTTCCTTTAAGGAGCATAACCGTTAACCCTGTTGCCCAGGGAGGATTCAGATGGACTGGGAGGGCCCTTCAATGGCCACAAGGGCATTGTTCTTGCTTGTAGCTTGTAAGAGCAGGCTGGGGACCATCTGCTAAGCCCCCGAGACTGGAGAGATTTTTCTCCATGCATTCATTCTCCTTCCTGCATCTTTCCTGGAGCAGGTGGGTGGTGAAGATGGATGCTCAGGGCTGCTTCTTGGGTTGCTGTAAAGTGGCTGCTACACTTGAGAATGCTCCGGATCTCATCATGGAGCTGAAAGACAATTCCTGCAAAGTGTTTGGGAAACATCCAGATAGTTCCAGTATTCCTTCACCAAGGGCACAGTGGCTTGAGGAAGAGACAAGAGAAGGGCTAGAGCAGGCCACCTTTGTCCCGTGGTCCTGTTTGTCCTGGCTCTTGGCCACTCTTAGATGCTGGCGTTGCGCCATTTGTTCACACCGGGTTTTTTCATCCTTATTGGCTTCTAACTGGTTACTGCCTAGGGCTCCCTGTGGACCGCCTCTGGTGGCACCCCCAGAGTCCAATAACAGCTCAGGCTGGAAGGAAGGACTGAAATGCCTCTGCACACAGCTGCACAACTGGCTGTCTCTAGTCGCTGTGAGAAAGCCATGTTTTGCACTATTTGTTCCTAATCTCGGATTTCTGCACTGTCTCTCTTCTGCAATGTGCATCGCGATTTTCTAACAGGGATGGAGAGCTGGCTGTCTTGGTAAAGTGCTGGCTGTGCAAGAGTGAGGACCTGCGTTTGGATCCCCAGAACCCATGGAAAAGTGAGGCACAGCCCTGGGGGACAGAGACAGAGGATGCCGGGATGCCGGCGGGAGCTTGCTGGCAGGCCAGTCTAGCCAAAACTGTGAGATCCAGGTTCAGTGAGAGCTGGCTCGGTGGTTAAAAGCTAAGATTCCCGACCAGAAAGCAAGGTAGGGGAGTGACGAGAGAGGACGGTGACTGTCTCCCAATATGTTCACACAAGTGCACACTCATGCACACACGCACGCACATGCACACCCCCCTACATCCATGCAGGCAATGTACACAACTCAGACACACACACGGAGACTTCCTCTCAGAAAGGCACAGCCCTTTGGCAGCTGCACCAAACGCATGCAAATCATAGGTCCAGGAAGTGGGAGGATTTGGGAAATGGAAGGGCAGCAGAGAGGCCAGGGTGTGAACATAAATAGAAAACAGGAGTTGGAGCATCAGCATCCTTGCAAGGCGTTGGGCCCACACTGCGACAAAGGCTGGGGACAGCAGGAAGGCCCTTAGGTAGACTGTGGTCCTCCAGTGCTGCCTCTTGATTACAAAGCTGTCAGGTGTCCAAGGGAGGAGGGGACATGTATCTGGGCTCCCCATTTCAGAGGGTTCTGTCCAAGGTCAGCTGTCTTCCTCGCTTTTAGTGGCAAGGCAGAGGAGGGCCTGGGGAGGACATCTGCTCAGCTGGTGGTGGGGACAGGCTAGACCCTTGAAAACCACGCCCCTGTGACTGCTTCCTGTAGCCACACCTCATCTCCTAATAGCCCAGTCAACTAGGAACTCACCAGTTCATGAAGTTAGCACTCTCATGAGGACTGACCTGCAAAATAGGATCCTTTTGGGGGACATTTCTGATCCAAACTGTAACAAAAGGCCTGCTGAACGGGTTGCCTAGATACATGGTTCTGGCCCTTCAAGAACATTCTAGTGCTGTTCTCTAGGGTCAGGAGTCTTGGTCCACTTGGTTCTCAGACAGGACATCCCCTTGCAAACACCAGCAGGTAAACAAACGACAACACACTGAGAGAACATCCTGTCCAGCACTGGGGTAGTGGGTAACTGCCTTGAGTGTGTAATTGATCCAGGTGTAATTTGCATACATACACCTTAGTTCAGCAAGGTCTGCTCTCGTTTAAGGAGATACCGACTCCAGTTTGTACAGGGTTCACTGCTTGTTGCCATATGTAACAAGTCTTTCTCTGTTCCACCAGCCAGCTCCCAGAAAACAATACGGAGACTTCGTATTAATTATGAAAGCTTGACCTTAACTTAGGCTTGTTTCTAACTAGCTCTTATAACTTAACCCATTTCTATTCATCTACGTTCTGTCACGTACCACCCACCCATCCTGCTTCTTCTGTGTCTCCTGGTATTTCTCATGTGTCTAGATTCATCTCTACTTCCTTTCATTCATGGGAAATCCTGCCTGTGCCTCCTGCCTATTGGCCTAGCTATTCGCTGTTTAGCTTTTTATTACACCAATCATAGCAGTACACCTTCACACAGTGTACAAATATCCCACATTTCCCTCTTTTTGTCTAAATAAAAAGGAAAGGCTTTAACTCTAACATAGTAAAACTATATATCAGAACATTATCAGGTAAAAATTATATTTTTAATATTCAGTCCATTTGTATTTGGCAAATTCAGAGAAAGTACTGTATTATCCTATCTTAGTGAGTCCAAGGTTTTATACCTAAAACACTTTCTATCATAACTTGTATTACCATCCTAAAAAAATATTTTTTTTAGATATTAAAAGTTTTTTTCTGAACTTGGTAACAAGAAAAACTGTAACTATAACTATCTCATCTTCAGCTCCATCAGAGACCCAAGAAGGATGTAATATTACCTGAGTAAACAGGAAGTGCAGAGCAAACAACTTCCAAACTATAAAAATGACAGAAACAACCAGCTGTCTGGACCGTCAGCCCAAGGTTCCTCTGCATCCAACTTTGGTCTACGGGCCTAGAATATCTGACAGACGTTTTGTGAAATAGAAACTTTTAAAGGACTGTCTTGACAAAATTTGGCAGTTGCTTTCTTTTGTGTCCTATTTGTCCAATTTGGACAGCATACTGTCAGCAGTCAAGGCAAGGGCAGTGTCTTTTCCAGTGGCTGACTTTGCCACAATAAAAGCAAACTCCTTATGGAGGTTCTTTGATGCCCATCTTCCTGTTTTGAAGTAAATTGGTGCTGCCAGGAGCAGATGTGTCTTACTGTCATGAAAAGCCTTAGGTTATTAAAACATCTTAAATATCATATTTTGTAGGTCTCTGAAGTATTTGAAGACCATTTGTCTAGCTAAAATATATCTCTGTTTGACCTTGAAAACATACCTAACATGGCCACAGATTTAATTGCTAGATGACTAACTACTAACCTGTATTTCTTAAATTATCCTAAGTAGTTTGTAATAATAACTTTCAAGGACTAGGAATTTACATTACATTGTTAAATGAACTGCATAGGTACAATACCTTAAAAAAGTAGAAACGTGTGTGTGTGTGTGTGTGTGTGTGTATAATAACAAAAATAACCTTAAATTTGTATCAATATACAAAAATATCTTAAATAAGAATAGAAACATATAGAGTATTTTATAACAAAAATAACCTTAAATTTGTATCAATATAGAAAAATCCATGCCAATGTAAAATATTCAAGATTAATAGTTGCTTTTTAGTTTAAAGTAGATTCAGTAATCTATCCTTTTATCCTATCTTTCCTGTCCTATCATTCCCATATCCCCTTTTTTTCTTTTCAGAAAGAGATCCTTGAATCTAACCTCCCTTGCTTAGTTTCTTCCCTTACCATAACCAGTAACAATTTGCAACCAACCCCTTAAATGATGACAAACAGCCATAACCTTATCAAATGACCAAAAACCACCCACCCTGCCTCTTGGGAATGTGGGTGTTGTGTTTTCTAGACTGATTCCTGTTGTCTGGAGGTAACTGCATCTTTGGGGACCCTAAGAAAATTGGGATAATGGTCAAGTCCTGGGAGAGCTAGCTATATTGTTTTTTGTTTAGTCTCTATTTGATGTGAAAGTATAGAGCTTATCTGAAGTCTTGACTGGACAATCTGTGAGGCTGGACCATCTTAGCTCACAGCTTTGAAGTTGTTCTGGATGAATAATTTTGAAGAAACCGCAAAAGAAGCATTCTGAAAAACTGTATCACCTAGGCTACAAGTCTTTATTGGTGTCTAGTCTTTTTTTTTCCTGAAAACATTTAAAGGTGGCATATACATCTGTATTAACACAAGTATGGAAAGTATAATGTGTACAAGTCAGCTGAAGATGATTTTTGTTGTGTTGTTGTTGTTTTTGTTGTTTTATGTCTGAGCAGGTAAAAGGCATCTGTCAACTTTATAAGTCCTTCTGGACTGTATAACCAAACCTCTATCCATGTACTATGAAAGAATGGCATGTAATAATAAGTCATGAGAACTCTGTAGTCAACAAGATTTTTATCATGTCTCATCTAGACTCAGAGCTGTTCCCACAGTAGAGGGATCAGCCCTGTCCTGTAGTCTTTCTTGGTTTCTTTTCTCATGTCTGTAGTCAAGATTTTTCAGGAGGTCTCCCCTAATCAAATCTGAATTTAATTAATTTTGAAGAGAACCATAACTTTTTGTTTCCTGTGTAAACAAAGGCATAACCCTAATACAACATATTTTTTGACTTCCAGTCTGAAGTGAAGACATTCTTAAAATATATAGGTTGGTTTAATTTAGCAGTTTCCATAATCTAATGTCTCTCAACAGCTATTGTTTTGTGTACATTTAGCATCTAAAAAATTCAAAATCAACCAAGTACCATACAGGATCCAGACACCCTATATATTTCCCATCCTTATGTGGATTATTCCTTTTATATTATTTCACTCTTTAAAGGCTTTATTATT